GTTCTTGACTGCTGTCCAATGACTTTCATCGGGATCGGATTGGTATCTACTCGTCATGCTTAAAGCACATGCAACATCTGGACGAGTACATAGCATGGCATACATAATAGATCTTATAGCAGAAGTATATGGGATTCTACTCATGCGCTCTCGCTCATCATGTGTCAAAGGAAAATGAGTCTTGCTGAGAGTAATGCCATGAGACATCGGTAGCAAACCTTTCTTGGAATCATGCATACTAAACCTATGCAAAATCTTATCTATATAAGTATCTTGACATAGTCTAATAAGCTTGTTTAATCTATCTCTATAGATTCATATTCCAAGAATATAAGCAGTTTCTCCCATGTCTTTCATTGAGAAACAACTACTTAGCCAAGTCTTGACAGACTGAAGCAAAGGAATGTCATTTCCAATGAGAAGTATGTCATCTACATACAAAAATAGAAATGCAACTGAGCTCCCACTAGTCTTCTTGTAAACTCACGGTTCTTCTTCGTTTCTAACAAAATCAATCTCTTTGATTGCCTCATTAAAACAAAGATTCCATTTCCGAGATGCTTGCTTCAATCCATAAATAGAACGTTGAAGCTTGCATACCTTCCTAGCAGTCTCAGGAACTGTGAAACCTTCAGGTTGTGTCATGTACACATCCTCTTCGAGATTTCCATTAAGGAAAGCTGTTTTCACATCCATTTGCCATATCTCATAATCATAATAAGCGGCAGTTGATAGGAGAATCCAAATGGATTTAAGCATTGCGACTGGAGAATAGGTTTCATCATAATCCATATCATGAATTTGTTTGTAATCTTTAGCAACCAATCTAGCTTTGTATATCAATATATTACCATCCATGTCTGTTTTCTTCTTGAAAAACCATTTACACTCAATGGTTTTAACACCATCAGGTAAATCCACCAAAGTCCATACTTTGTTTTCTAACATGGATCCCATTTCGGATCTTGCGGCTTGAAGTCATTTTTTGAAATCAGGGCCCATCATTGCTTCTTTGAAAGAAGTAGGTTCATCACTCTCTATAATTAATAGTTCATGATCATCTGTCACCCAAACCCCATATCTATTAGGTTCGTGACGGTCCTCTCGGACCTAAGTACCTCAGGTTCCACAGGTGTAGACTCTACGACTCTTCGTAATCTAATTGATGCTCTTCCTCAGAAATTGCACCAACCTCCTGTGTTTCTCGAACTTCTTCGAGTTGTACTTTATTCCCACTATTTCTCTTAGAAAGAAATTCTCTCTCTAAAAAGACACAGTTTCGAGCAACAAACACTTTGTTCTCAGCAGGGTTGTAAAAGTAATAACCTTTGGTTTCTTTGGGATAACCAATGAAGTAGCATTTATCAGATTTGGTCCAAGCTTATCGGTAATCAAACATTTGACATAAGCTTCACAACCCCAAATTTTCATAAAAGACAGATTAGGAACTTTTCCAGTCCATATCTCATATGGTATCTTCTCTACTGATTTTGATGGACATCTATTTCTCGTAAACGTAGACGTCTCTAGAGCATATCCCCAAAAGGATAACGGAAGATGTATGACTCATCATGGATCAAACCATATATAATAAAGTCCGATTTCTTCTCTCAGAAACACCATTCCATTGTGGCGTTCCTGGAGGAGTGAGTTGTGAAACAATTCCACATTCTCTCAGACGATCAATAAAAGTTTGGCTTAAGTATTCTCCTCCTCGATCTGATCGAAGGGCTTTGATTATTTTGCCAATTTGGTTTTGTACTTCATTCTGAAATTCCTTGAACTTTTCAAAAGATTCAGACTTACGCTTCAGACTTACGCTTCATCAGATAAACATAACCATATCTACTGAAATCATCAGTAAATGTGATGAAGTAATGATAGTTTCCTCTGGCATTTATATGCATTGGTCCAAATACATTAATATGTAGAAGGCCCAACAAATCGTTAGCCCTCTTACTGTGTCCAGTAAAAGGAGCTTTAGTCATTTTTCCCAACAAATAAGATTCACATTTTTCATAAGATTCAAAATCAAATGATTTCAAAAGTCCATCACTATGAAGCTTTTGAATGCGTGTCTCATTTATGTGGCCTAAACGACAATGCCAAAGAAAAGTTGGATTTGAGTCATTGACTTAAATCTCTTGGTACTAATGTTATAGACAGTCATACTTTGGTTCAAAACATAAAGTCTATTCTCTAATGGACCGCTACCATAAAAAAATATCACCACGATCAAACGAACAACATTTGTCTTTAATCGAAAAATGAAATCCTTCCAAATCCAAACAAGAAATAGAAATAATATCCATGCTTATAGCAGGTACATAGTATCAGTTTTTAAGTTCTAAAACCATGCCAGAAGGCAAAGACAAATGAAATGTTCCTACAGCTAATGCAGTAACTCTTGCTCCATTTCCAACTCGCAGGTCCACTTGTCCTTTCTCCAAAGTTCTACTGTTGCTTAAGCCCTGCATATTAACACAAATATGAGCACCACAACCGGTATCCAATACCTAAGAGGTAGAAGAAGAAGTAGAAACATTTACTTCTATAAGATAAATACCTGGAGAAGAAGTCTCAAAAGTCTTCTTCTTCTTTTTCAGATCTTCCAAGTATTTTTTTGCAGTTTCTTTTCCAATGTCCAGAACCGTTACAGTAATCACACTTATCTTCACCAGAAGGACCAGGCTTGATCTTAGGAGCAGGGTCTGACTTGCTTGGATTCTCAATCCGGCTTGTCTTACCATTTCCTTTGTTCTTACCAAGTTTCTTAAACTTTTTACCCCCTTATGGTACAAGGGTTTAAAAAGTTTAACTAAAAAAGAGTGAGCTGAGGAATGTAACGGGCTGTAGGTGGACGCGGATTCACTTGAGGGGTGTGGGGCCCTCCATGGTACGGTATCTTTCCTGGGCTAGATTTAGGTTTTCTTTTATCTAATGGGTTTTAGAGTCAGGTTTTTGGGGCTATAAATACAAGACTTAGGGTTTGTAATTATTCATTCACACAATTAATAAAAAAAACCCTAAACGGGTGTTTGCCTCAATTTACGATTTTTCCATATTGTTTATTACTTTTTTCGTGCTTGATACTTTTGGAACGGTTCAAACCTGGACTCTAGAGAAACTAGAGTTTGATCTCTAATAATTTTTTTTTAACAAAAAATATGCCATTTTGTAGTGGATGCCGCAAAAATATGCCATTTTAAAGTGGATGCTCGCGACGGTCGCCTCTCTCGCCTGCCCTCAAGGCCAGGTCACGAACATAATGCATATGAAATTGTCATGTATCTAGTCGACGTCGTCGTGGGATAATTTTGTCCTTGGCAAGGGATAACTTTATCCTTGACTTACAATTTCAAGCCGTTTGTCTTGGTCTTGCAAGTCAAGGATAAAATAAAAAATTATCTGTTTTAAAATCGTAGTAGATTCTAACCCCGTGCATCCGCACGAGAATTTTTCATTTTTATTTATAATATAAAATATTTTAATAAAATTTCATTTTATTATTTATTTTTTTTTAAAATCAAGAAATTGGTTATCATGTTTTAACTTTGAATATTATAAATTTCTATATTAGTAGAATAAGAATATGAGTTAATTAAGTATATATTGATCTATGTTAATTATGAACTTTGTTATTATGTAAATTTAGATTTATACATAAACAATCTACATATCTATGAATTGGCTAACCGGTTCGTTTAATTATCTCAAATTATTTTTTAAATATTTTACATGTTTTGATAAACTGATCCGAATAAAACTGTAATTATAAATGCATAACTTTAACTTGCTCCACCATATTATTGTATAATATAAATATTTATCATTTGTGTTATTATAAAAATTTTATTTAAATTAAATCTAACATGTATTCAAAGAATTCTCAAGTAATTAAAATTATTATCTAAATTTTAGTAGTAAATTTATTTATATTTTTTTTTAATTTTAAATTAAATTGAATCTAAAATTTTGTAATTCAAATTAATAGAAAAAAATTTCAAATAATTTGAAATTCAAATTAAATATAACGTATATTTAAGGATATCTAACAATATCTAAATTAATAACCAATGTATAATTATTTTTCATTTTTATTTATAATTTATTTTTTTTTAAATCAAGAAATTGGTTATCATGTTTTAACTTTGAATAGTATAAATTTCTATATTAGTAGAATAAGAATATGAGTTAATTAAGTATATATTGATCTATGTTAATTATGAACTTTGTTATTATGTAAATTTAGATTTACACATAAACAATCTACATATCTATGAACTGGCTAACCGGTTCGTTTAATTATCTCAAATTATTTTTTAAATATTTTACATGTTTTGATAAAGTAATCCGAATAAAACTGTAATTATAAATGCATAACTTTAACTTGCTCCATCATATTATTGTATAATATAAATATTTATCAATATTAAATATTTAAACTTTAGACCGATTATGATAAAATACAATAAAATATTTATTTATCATTTGTGTTATTATGAAAATTTTATTCAAATTAAATCTAACATGTATTCAAAGAATTTTCAAGTAACTAAAATTATCATCTAAATTTTAGTAGTAAATTTATTTATATTTTTTTTAATTTTAAATTAAATTGAATCTAAATTTTTGTAATTCAAATTAGTAGAAAAAAATTTCAAATAATTTGAAATTCAAATTAAATATAACTTATATTTAAGGATATCTAACAATATCTAAATTAATAACCAATTTTCAAAATTTAATATAATATAAAATAAAATATTTTAAAAAGTTTTAGGTGCGTTTGGAAACAAACACTAAAAGTAATTCTGTTTTAATAGAATAGATATATAATTATTTTTGTAATTTATAATAGATAAATAAAGGAAAAGAAAAAAAGTTCCAACCACCAATTTAATCAAAACATCGGCAAAAACATGGTGAAGCCCACTAGGCCCAAATAATATCCATTCGCAGACTTCCTCTTCCATCCGCCCATTCTCTGGTCGCAAGCTTTCCACGGTACGCCTGCAAATGGATAATGTAACCGTTTAGCTCTCTTTCTCTCTCTCTCTCTCCCTCTCCCTCTCCACTTCCCATAAATCTTCCGGCATGAGCTTAGCTTCAGTTTCATCGACGTCGCCAGTGGCTCCGCCGTGTTTCCGCTGCCGAGCTTACATCTTCTCCTTCTCTCCCTCACCTCTCTGTTTATATTTCCCGCGCGGTCGCGGCGACTCAGCTTCCCTCACGCTCAGGCCCAAAATTCGTGCGTTGCGAACGGAATCGGACGGCGCTAGGATCGGTAACACGGAGTCGTACGGCTCGGACTTGCTTCGTCGGCCGCGAATTTCGTCTGAGGAAGAGGAATCCTCCGGAGAAGAAGATGAGAGCGGCGAGGGTGATGAGTTTGTGGATTGGGAAGATAAAATCCTCGAGGTTACTGTTCCTCTTGTTGGTTTCGTCAGGATGATTCTTCACTCTGGAAAGTATGTCTGCATTTTTTTTTCTCTAGTTTTCGAATTTCGTATCTCATTCTTACGATCAAAATTTGCTACTATAAGCAATCGACTGCACATTTTCTTCACTAGAATAGGGAATTTTACAAATTGTTGGTGTTGTTGTTGTTTAATCGAGTTTTTAATCGGTTGATATGATCGAAATTTTTCTGAAATTAGAGCTTAAGATTCTCTTTATAACTTTGGAAATGGTACTAAGTCGTAATCTGGACGCATTTCTTGATTTACTTTATGAATGAGTGTAAAGAGATTAGCTGGGGAACTTTACAAATTGTTGGTGTTTTTGTTGTTTAATCGAGTTTTGATTGGTTGATATGATCGTAAAATTTCTGAAATGAGAGCTCGGGATTCTCTTTTATAACTTGGAAATGGTACTAAGTCGTAATCTAGAAGCATTTCTTGATTTGCTTTATGGATGAGTCTAAAGAGATTAGCTGCTTTATTGTTTGAATGGTGCTAAGTATGGATTGGATTGTGAAATGCCAAAACAGATATGTGATGTTGTGTTTGCTGTTTATATGTTCATCTGTATGATAAGAGTCCTTATGATTCAAATTCACAGATATGCAAACCGAGATAGGCTAAGCCCCGAGCACGAGAGAACAATCATTGAGATGCTGCTTCCTTATCACCCTGAAGTTGAGAAGAAGATCGGATGTGGAATAGACTATATCATGGTATGGTATCATGCTTTCTTGATTTGGAAACAACATGAGCCTTTACTAAGTGAACCTGTAGCTTCTGTAATTAGTTTCGTTGGACAACTTTGCATCGGTTTATGTTTTCATTTTCGGATTCTTTGTCCGCGCTTTCAAGCTGTTCTTGTCTTCGTACAGGTCTCTTGTTAGTATGATCAACATACACTTTCATGTTTTACATAACAAAGATAGAAATGAATTAGGGAGAAGAGATCTGTCTAGACTTAATCCAAATGCTTAGCAACTTATAATAACTTGATGTCCTCGGTTTTTGTTGTTGCAGGTTGGGCATCACCCAGAATTTGAGAGCTCTCGATGTATGTTTATAGTTCGAAAAGATGGAGAAGTAGTCGACTTTTCGTATTGGAAATGCATAAAAGGTCTAATAAAAAAGAAGTATCCTCTGTATGCAGACAGTTTCATCCTCAGACATTTTCGCAAACGTAGGCAGAACAGGTGAAGAAGGAGCTTATGTAGATTCTCAAACTCAAACGCTCGTTGGACTTGGATCCTTCTTGTCTCCCAAACTACATCCGACAAAGGTTTTGAAGTTAGAACTCAGACACAGAAGATCCCATTCACTTTTTTTCTTCATTTGAGTTGGAATTATGAATGGAACTTTCTAGAAGATACGGTTTTCGAAGGAGATGAGGAGTTTACAATCCTTAGCATTTTATGTGATAATGAAACTTTTACATTGAGCTTATGTGTAGAGGTAGAAAAACTGTACACACTTGTATCACAATATTCAGATGGAGCTTTCTTCTTTTAAATGTTTTTCGTTTTCTTTTATTACATTTATTATTATTGTTGGTAGGACAAAGCATAGGCAATCTGACCAAGATTCGTTACTTGACGTGAAATTGTTATTCCAACCATTCAAATGGGAAATTAGTCATTTAATTCTCGAAATATTTCAAAGCATATTTATTTTTGAACTATCAAATGCGCAAATTAAATTCCCTATTTTGTAGTATTAATTTCTAAATTTAGGCAGAAAAAGCTCACCCGTTTCATGTTTAACATTGACTTTTTTTTCATGCTTAAATTTAAAAATCAATGCATTGTTTGATGATAGTCATTTTGTTTGTGATCTACTAAATTGTTCTCTTAAGTATAATTATTAGAATTTTGGATGTTCTTATACCGTAATACGATCAAACACATGAACATTTCTTATGTGGGATTAGTTGGTGGCTTGGTGCATGTTTATAGATCTCAGTGAACTAATTTACAGTTACTCTAATTTCCATGAAAGATGATTGTACAAATGGCCGAATTGATTAACTACTTTAGAATGAAATTTTGGAGCAAAATTACGTTTTACTAGATGGTTAGATCTCTTTCTCAAAAAAAAAAAAAAGATTTTAGAATAAATATTAAAAAAAAGAAGATTTTAGTAAAAAAAAAAAGAAGATTTTAGTGAATTCTTTTTACTTTTGCCTTTTTTTCTTGAAATTCTGAAATTTTACTAGATTTTCTATTTTATGTATTTTGACATTTTTTTAATATATAAAGCATTACAAGAAAAAATATATCAAAAACGAAATGCTAGCGGTATTAGACCATATTCAGATCTTATAGTGTTTGTCCCCAGTGGCGGAGCTAGAAATTTTTTTCACTGGGGTCAAATAGAGATATATATGATATTCTTAGTGGGGGCAATGACACCAAGCTTTGAAAAAATACACCAATTTTTTAATTTCATTAGGGGCAAATGACCCCACCTTGATGAATGTGGCTCCGCCACTGTTTGTCCCACATTGTTAATATTAATGTATTAGGTTAATTATATTGTGTATATAAGGCGTAGCATCTTTATTGATATGAATAAGAAACCTTTTTACAACTTCTAAAAGTTTCTTGTCATGGTATCAAAGCTCTAAAACTTAAACTATTACAAGGTTTTATTGTTTCTCAATTAAAGGGATTTCAAATTTCCGCTGCGAAATCTCATTCTTAGTTGTGTTTTCTTTTGGTCTTTGACCTAAACATTTTTGTTTTCACTCTGAGACAATTGTTTATTCACAAGGGGTGATAAAAACTCGACAATTGTTCTGATGGTTTCTACAACTCCTACTGAAACTCGTTGTACCATATCGCCGTATGATTAAACTTCTGGAGATAATCCTGGTACTCTGATCTCCAAAGCCATGTTGCATGGTCCAAATTACGATCAGTGGACCGCAAATCTTTGTTTAGAACTGAAGGCAAAAAAAAAGTTTGGTTTTGGATGGTACCATACCACAGCCGGAGGAGACATTTATTGACTTTGAAGATTGGACTGCAAACAATGCTCTCGTAGTTTCATGAATCAAACTCACAATTGATGAGAATCTCTCTGACTCGATGTCTTATATTGATGACTCTCAACGTTGGACACACATTGGAGTTAAGAATGCTCAGCGTGTTCAACATCTTAAGACATAGTTGGCCAATTTTAGACAAATGGGATTGGCGATTGAAGTTTATTGATGTGTCTATAATTTACATCATTTAGGCCGCATTTTAGAGTCCAAATCATGTGTTTTCTCTTTCATTTTAGGTCCTTAGGCTTTGATTTAGACCTTAGGGTGTGCATTAGGTTCCAATGTGTCTTTACATGGTTTGGAGTCTTTATCAGGTGTTTTGGAGGCCATTTGGAGTTCAAGAGATGTGATCAGGAGTTGAAACGGTGAAGAAAAGGGTTAAAAATGGTGAAAACCGCTTTAAGGAATTTCTCAGCAAAAGCAAGTACTGGCTGTATCAGTTTATCGGCTAAAAATGCCATCGGGTGATTTCATCGGCCAAAAATCAGTACCGGGTGAAAACGCTGTCGGGAGAAGTTTTATGCCGAGACGGAGAATTTTTATCGGCTAAAAAACTTACTCCGGTACACGTTTCTTGGATATTTTCCTTACCGCGGAAAGCATTTCTCGGCTAAAATCTATTTTCACCTGCACGCATTAAAGATTGCAGATCCGGGGAAGCTTCTGATCCGAATCAGTAACGGGTTCTTCATCAAAGTTGGAGATAATCAAGTCAAGATCCCAGAACAGTTGGAGGTACTGAATTCGGAGCAGTGAGCAGAGAGATATCGCCACCGGGAGACACACCTGTCTCGCATGCAATCAAAAGCCGATCCGATGAGTTTTAAAGATTACGTGGGACGATGCCTTTACAACTCGACTCAGTTTACGCCTTCATCAATATTTGAGATCTTTGAGTTCTATTTCCAGAACACCTGAGATCACCTAATTTGGAGCTGTGGCCTGAAAGATATCGTCTCCGGAGTAAACGCTGGTCCAAGAGCTGTTTTTATACCGTTCCGATGTGATGCAAAGATGAGCAATCCGGGGAGTCTTCCACTTCCCAAGATCCGATGATTTCTTCACCAAAGTTTGATCTGAATGAGTAATCTTGATCGTGGAGTTGGTTTCTAGTCATTTGGAGTCATGTGCTGAAAGTTATTGCAACCGGGAGATAAGCGGGCCGATACAAGCTTCAAGAGCTACGATACGTGCTAAGTGTTTCTACGGGCCTCGGTGTCATTACCTCGATATTGCCTAAGCCGAGGCTCGTTCCCTGAAGCTTTTTGGTCCAAACCTTGTGCTAATCCTCAGTATATGAAGATCGAGGCACACATGCTGAAGAAGCGAAGCTGAAAACAACTAAGTGTTGGACCTAAACCTCGGCCTCAAGACCCCGGCATTGCATGTCGGACCTCATCTGCCTTGATCCCTCGATTACCAAGCCCCTCGGCATAATCATGCCATGGTCATCTTTTACCGCGTGAATATTTCAAAACCTCGGCTAAACTCCTCGTCTTAATAACACTGGAGCCGTGTGAGAAGGATAAAGAAAGTGCGAAAAGACTAAGTGTGGGGGAAGAACCCCGGTGTAAACACCTCGGTATAAACATACCAAGGGTCAATGTTCAAAAGAAACGGTTAAAACCTCGACCTGAAGCCGCGACCTCTTTACATCGAGGCCGAGTCACTTAAGCCCCCAAACACCAAGTGTTCTCACCAAAATAGGTCCCCTCGACATGATGCCCTCGTGGTGGAGCATGTCAAAGTGCCTGGTAACGAGAAAGAGCAAACAAGTAGAACACTTGGGACACTTAAGTCAAAGGAGAAGGTTTAAGTGGTCAATGGAAAAGACTTGAGAGACAAGAAAAATTCTGTGTTAGCATGAGCTCTAAGCCCTCGGTCTGGTACCCTCGGGGTGGAACACACCAAGGCTGCTTGTGTCTAACCTAGAAAAATGAGATAAGCATGTATGGCCCACGTCTTATCCACACCGCGGTCATTTGAAGGTTTTGCGGGGTAAAATAAGTTTAAACGCTCGGTCAAAGCGTTTTTAGGCGCAGTCAACGGCTGGAGTCTTTGAGGAAGGGGGGACCAGTGCCACAACAGTCCAAACTCCAGCTGGAAAAGAGACTCCAGCCCATACCGAGCCAAAAGCAGAATTTGCCTTCTTCACCCTTTTCTCTGCATTTTACGAGCATATCTCTTTCATTTCTCATTCATTTCACGCGATTTCAAGTGCTCTGAACTCGTTAGAGTGTTGTATACTCTGCATATGCATCTCACTGAGCTTGAATCCTGTGTTCCCAAAGGTATTTGCATTTTAAAGAACTCACCTTTTCCATTATCGTTTGCGAGCTTTATTGTTTGTAAAATGTGGAATTGATTCTTTTAGGCTGTTAAAAACTTTGGGAACAATTTTAGAAATTCCATTAGACAACACATGAAAAACCGGTTCTTGCATTGAAAATCGCCTGTTCTTGAGTTTTTAAAATTCATGAGATATTGTGCTTTAAATCGGCTTTAATGGTGAAATGGTTTCTCGGCTGAGTTGCTTGTTTTTCTCTGCGTTTAGCAATCATGTTGACTCGTTTCTTGACCATTTTGAGCTTGAGAAACCATTGACCATTGATTTTTGAGAGAAAGCTCTGTTCTTGTTCGTTCTCTTGCACTTGAGTTTAGCGATATACTTGGTGCTTACTCTTTCTTTGAGGATTCTCTTGCAGATGACTGAGAGAACAGCTACTTTATCTCAAAGGAAGGAAGTTCAGAGGAAGGTCAGCAAAAGCAAGGCTGTGGCCTCAGCAAGACCTGGAGGAACCAGCAAGAAATCCACCAAAAGCACCAAAGGAGCCGATGGCGAGCCAGCTCTGAAGCGTGCAAGGAATGACGAGCTTGCGCTTGTACCTGTGCCTGAGCCAAAAAGGAAAGGGAAGCAGATAGCTTCGGCACCTGATGAAGAGAGAGCTGAGGCCACGGTTGAAAGAGAAGCTGCACCTGAACCTGATGCTGAGTGTGCTGAAAAGGCAAAGAAAGAACCGAAAGCCGAGCCTGAAGGACATCACTTTCCAACTACTGGGGAATACTTGGACCAGTTTAACAAGGTGCAAGTGGCTCAAGGTCGATTCCCTGATATTGAGCTGTTGAGCAAGCTGGAAATTCTCGATGATGTTAAGCTCATTTTCGAAAACATGGACTTAGCATCATTCTTCGAGATGAGAGACGTTGCTTATGAAGAGATCACTCAGCAGTTCCTGGCCCACTAGACGTGTTCATTTACCCCAAGAGAGATCCCAAGCAATTACATGGGAAAGGCTTTGGTCACATTGAGTTTTGAAATGGATGGGGTCGGTTATAAAGTGAGTTTCAAATAGATTTATGAGATCTTTGGCTTTGTGAGGAATGAGAGCTCTTTGGAGAAGTTTGTGTACCCCAAAGAAGAGATTGCTGCTCTTTGGGAAACCATTGCCTTTGGACCGTATGTTGGAG